CGGATGAACTCCTTCCGCCTTTTACCAACGAAGAAGAACGTAAATCAGTCATGAGACTCGTGGTTACATACCCTAAGAGGAAAGCTACATCACCTTAGGCCGCTCTGGTGCATGTATACACAAATTATGGACGCTATATTCTCATTATGTGAAAAGGTCAAGGCAATACGTGTCGCCAGTAGGGATTTTCTGTTGATGCATTGCCAAGTACTGGCGCTGATGGGATCAAAATCAGCGACAGTTACGTCCGTATATCTGATTTGATTTAGTTTGATTTATTCGGCTGTATAACGTAATATACGGCCAGGACGGCCCACCGATATAGCCGGATCGTGGACGCTATTTTAAAGGGCTAACCCTGGTAACTGGACAATATGCAATAAGACCAGTTACAATGCTCACTTCAAATGCGTTAACAGGGGAGAGGTAGCTTTAACGTGAGTTACACAAATGATAAAAGGTTGGGAGCTACTTTGGATACGGAGACGGTCTGCGTTACTGATCTAATTATAACAAACGTAATATCCGTGACAATAAAAAAAGAACCGTGCATCTGGTATGAGAATGCGCTGTATGTTTAGAACTTTCAGTACACTGGAAACAAAAAACACTGCAGTTTCCTTGATGTCATCTGCTGAATGAAGAGCAGTTGGTCTAATATTTTAAAGAATCCCCTAAACAATGTAAGAAAGGGAAAGAGCTGATCCCGTTAGGATATACATGTATATAGATTATCCTTCTGAGGCTCAACAATTGCTTACATGGACAGTTCAAAGCCCGCCTCCCGATGGTATCTGACAACAATCTGGAATCGATACAAACAGCAGTCATTGAATAACGGATATCGATTCCACTTAACGACTGGTAGACACAAGCTTGTAATCGTATCAATAGGTGCCCTCGTGACGTTGAAACAAAGTTTACTTTTGCTAAGTTATAGTAACATTTTTATAGACAATCATAAAAAGAGTCGTTCATTACATGCCTGTTTAAGAGCGCTAGCTACGTACGACAAGTGCAACTGCTGTTTTTACAAACTCATCAAATGCGTCTTCAAATGCCTTTGCAAAATGTCAGCGCAATTGGTCCGGGAAATGCGCCCGTATGGTTCCACTTCGTCAATCATGATAGGATCTGTGATAGCATTTCTCTAAGGACCCTTGCGAATGATACGGGTTAAGATCCAATAAACACATTACGCCGGAAATCTTACCCCCCGTGGTTAGTTACATGTGACCTGCAGCAGAGGATATCTGTCTTTAGATTATATATCTGGCTCAATGTCAGTTGGGATCTGGGTTTAAGCTCCTCGTAGTTGGGGATGACAAGACGATGAAATAATTGTTTTGCATGTATGACGTGGCCCGGGCCGTATTGATCAGTTTTCCCGCGGCGTGCGAAGCTTGTTTGCGGGGAATTATCTCGTCTGTCTCTATCAGCGTGTAGGATCGACCGAGCAGGGAGCTAACTGCGGTGATGTACGATCGAGCGACCGTCCCACAACCGCCACGCCTCCCAATCGAAACCTCCAAATTCCGTCCATCTGCGAAATTGATCACCGTCGCAGCCGTGAGAGCCTGGGCGTCCTCGCCGCGTTAACTTTCCCACACTCTGCCTGCCTCTCTCTGACGTTGCCATGGAAGATTCAGCCAGGTCCGGACGCAATGACGGAGAATTGCAGAGCCTTGTGTGAAGCTATTGATTTTGGGAACCCGGCTACTGCCATTAACATCTGAACGGTGCCCGCCTTATTGGTAAGGGGTACAAATTTACGGCTCTATATTTAGGTGGATGATCGACTGGTAGTACGCGGGGGTACCCGGGGTGCCGCCAGGGTCCCAGCCTCAGGGTCAACAAGAAGAAGGGAACCCCTTCCAAGATGTCTTGAGGAGATTCCGAAGACCAACCGCATCTTTAGACCAACCATTGTCATCTCCTTCAGTCCATTCATTAAGGTAAGAAGCAAAATCGTGTTTCATCAGTTTTCTCACGATGTAGTCTAATTAGATAGCAGACTAGCCTCTTCAAGTTAATTCAATCGGCCAGTGGTATTAGAGATTGCAATGGGCGATGTTTGCAAAGTAGGCCTTTTTGACATGGAATGAGCAACGTGAAGGTCATCCGCTGGAATATAGAAGCCGACCTCACGGTCTCGGGAGGAAGACAGATTTCGGCTGTTCTCTGTCAGCGCCAATAAATACGGTAACCCCGGGCGGGGAAACTGAATGCCGACCTTTTATTGTAATCCTCCCGGTGATATCCTGGCATTTAGTCATGTCGTGTGTGTGCACGGAGCGGTCTCAGGCAGCAGATGGGAGTTTTACATTTGGCCACGTCAGGGATTCTTCCTAATGGGAATGGGAATGATACCTTTGAATTGTGAGTATTGTCCGTGACATTTACAGTTCGCCGTGTGCTATCCGTTCATATAGATTTATCAACCAGTGACTGTTCTTTTCCGTTCTCTCTTGTCTTGGCGTATTGATAGTCTTGCTAAAGCTTTAAAATAACAAGTTATAGAAACTTGGCACAGTGTGACAGACTGTATCGATATATAGAAACGGCTGTAAAACAGTATAGCGAAGGAACATGACTAAAACTGTCCTTTTGTTTTATCCATTGGCTCGTTGATAGTCTAGTTAAAGGCTCAAAATACTTTTGATAGAAAACGTTATACTTGGCATGGCGTATACAAAAAGAACGGAAGCAGCTGTGAAGCAGTATAGCAAAGGAAATTGACTTTTTCAAAGACGGATTCAAATTGAAACTACTGGCGGCTGAAGAATTGTGGAGTGTCATAACGATTTCCTCCACCTCCACGTGACGTCCGCTATCTCTTAACAGTTGAAATGTCAATACTTATGCAGTTTGGGAGAGGGAACCAACTCTCAATTGAATTTGGTAGACAACTGTAGATGTAACGAAAGTATTTGTGGTCGCTAAAGCATCGGATATTACGTTTGTTCTGTACGTTGAAGCCAGAAAACCTTCAGGTTGTTTCCCGGGGTTTGCATTCCCCATTAGATCTGCCACATTTGTTTTAACCACTTTCTTCCTAGATTATATAGTTATGGAGACCATTAACTTAACGTAATACAGTTTGCTGGCAAAACTGTTCACAGTAAAGACCATCTGGTAAGCAATCTATAAAGATTTACTTCTTTTCTCGCTTTACATACATTGTACATATCAGCTTCATACAGTATCAATGTTTTAAATATGAAGTTCGGAACCTCCAAAAATCTCTAAGTGCTCTAAGCTTTTATTGTTCATGGAGATGAAGCAGAATCTCATTGTCTATTCTATCTGCGTTACGTTGCTTTGACGATGTTTTGATTAAGGCACAATGCCATCTCTTTACATAAGATAAAAGTACGATAAAGTGCGTAGATGGAAAAGTTTATTGCATTCCTACAATTTAGATGGATCATCTTCAATCTAATGAGGAGAAAGCGCTGAAATGTGGCTAGAGTTTTGAAACTGACGCTAGGATTTTTGGTGATGAATGTTTGATGTGGCCACTGAATGAATAACGTATCTCCTTGTACGGCAATTTCTATGGGTACAAAAATGGAATTCAGCTGTATTGGTTCAACAGCAGATTCAAGAAAAAATTGGACCCTTAAGCAAACCCCATATATATTACAGCGAGACATCCTTGATAACATTCAGTAATACATGACTATATCAAAGAAATTTCACAATTGTGGCTAGTAGAACAGTGATTAAAGAACTTGGTATATACTATAGGGATCTCATCTTGTCTTTTATAGATATGTTTGGTGCTGAATTTCTAAGTTTAGTTATGGGCACTGCTGTGCGCTTCTATGATTCTGTAACGTTATTTACGTATGGGCGCTGTTGTATCGTTCCAATACGTTTTTAATACTTAGTTCCGTATACAGTATGAGTTGGCACACGTCGGACGCTTTGCTTTACTCGTTATAATTGGATTACGAAATCATTCGGTAGCCATGGGCGGATCCGAGAGATCATTTTACACTAAGTCAGCAGTCAATTACTCAGTCAATACTCCCGGTGGACACGGTTGGAATATAACTAACTACAGGCTGCCCGCTGAATGTGCTTTAGAACCACCCACCTCACTATACAACACACACACTGGCTCTGATCGATCTAATGCCCTCGGTATAACAAAGGATCTTTATACTGCCCAAATTGCAGCGTTGCCTGACGTCAGATTTAAATCGATACTATTCGTATATGAAAGCGGCTAGATTGATATCTGAAGCGTAATAGCTGGGACGGGAATTGCCTGATAAGGTAACAACATTTAAGTGATTGAGGGGCTAAGTGAGCAGGACGTGCGGTTGAATATATATAGAGATAAATTTGCAATAAGTAAGGAAAGAGACTTAATGTAACAACACAGCTGCGGGTTTACATTGGATCCTAATAAACTGTTACCAAGACATGTTTTGCATTTTAAGATGCAGATGTGCCTTAATGTGCAATTACGCGGGAGTCTTTGGAGCTAGCACAGCAGAAATCGCGATACAGTTCATGTATCATGCAAATCTCCGGCCGGAAAATCCGGATAAGAAATCTCCGGAAAATCCGGAGAGGATGCCCGTAATTACACACCTGCATAACTATTTACTAGTTGATAGATTTGATAAAGTCAGATTTATTCAATTGTTCTCTTATCATATAGTAGATATATCCTGGTATTGCATGACTAATAAGCTGCCAGAAGATTATATGCATGCTCTGAATAACGAATGCACATTTTTAGTCTTTAATCTAGACCTTCTTTCATATATTGCAAGCAGATAAACCTGCAATGAGTCTGTCACATATATCATTAGGAATGTTTGGTCGTATACTTTAATTCCTGCAGTAAATGTTCCTTTATGTTTCTGACATGACGTTTTCTTACTTTTCCACAGGATCGTAGGCAGACACTTCGTATAAGGGGATTAAGTAGCAACCGCCGGACAAGAGGACTGCTTTCTATGTCCGCCGCCATTTTTGATCGTGATTGACATGGCATGGCACCGCCACATGTGAATGAGCGTCACCAGCGTGAACAGCAGTACCGAGGCACCGCCTACGTCATCATCCGAGCAGCACAGAACATCCGTGCCACCTGCCATCCTGATACTGTGCCTTGTCGTGCTGGGGATCTGTCTCCTGAGCCTGGGGATCAGCCGGGCCGTGCAGTACCTGGTCAACCACTATGACGTCTTCCTCCCGCCCGACATGGAAGGAGACGACGAACCGCGCGTGCGCGATGACCCCGCCGAAAGGCATGCCGGGATCAGGCCATGGAGGATGCTCAACTCCTTCCTGTCCACGAACAACCGAGTCGGTATCCAAATCACTCCAGACACGCCCGCGAGGCGAAACTCGTCAAATTCGAGACGTAACACCGCCAACACCGAAGACACTTGTCACTGTAATGACACAAATGATGACCTTTCACACTCCTCCCGTGGTGCCGTTCCAAACGGGGCCGCCACGGAAGTCCAGACTATGCACCAATTCTATATGCAAGACGGTAGGAATAGAAAAGAAGCCTGGGGCCCTCGAGAAGTGGTGGTTTGAATTTGGATTACGTAACGTCGATCTTCTCGGTTGGTTACCCACTCTCGTCCGCGGATGAGAATTGTCAATCGAGCCAAGGAAAAGCAATTCACATTGGATTGGAAACTTATGGTGATCCTATAAAGTGAGATGTTCCTTTGAACACATGTACCTTTCTGCATGTACATACGCCAAGGAGATTTTGATTTCCCATTTGACGTTCACTTCGTGTCTCAATAGGTGATTGATCAAAAGGAATAATGCATCATACTGTGTATATATCCCCGGCACTGTGGGAAATTTCCTGTCTCTTTATAACGGGAACGTGACATCGGGAATCCGTTTATTGCCGTGGAGAGGTCATGTAAGTTAATAAGGCCATTTCCCGTTCGATATATCTGGCACCAACAGTAATTCATTTATCCGATGCAGCTATAATACAAGTTCAACCCACACGCCTTCCTGAATACCATATGAAGATACTGACTGATGATACTGACTGATGCATTTCTGGAGGTTCCATCTAAAATTCTGATTGCAATTCTGACGACAACGACAGGCCAGCAATGCTATTTTGAGGGATTTCTTTTATATTTCTGCATTGCAATAAGAAATTCTATGCCACGGCTCCGTTCGATCACCGAAAGAGCGTGTGTAATGCAGCGCATTCCCTGGCATTGCCGGCTCGGTAGATCTCGTTGAACTGGTTCCAACAGGCGTCGTCATTGGCACGGAAAAGATAGTCATCACTTCAAGGACTATCGGTTTCTGGCTGATCGGTGTAACGCCGTTAAGCTATTCCATATATTTGACCCGAAGGTTATCTCATTCTCTGGAAACGAGGCGTTGCCGTTGACAGTTGACCCTATGGAGTACTGCCATCTGGACGCCCTGCGGCAATCTTTACAGATGACTAGAAGACTGCCTGAACTGAGGTTGAATAATCTTGGTTTGGAATTTTCCTCAGTATAATGGCAAGTTGGGAACTGCTCATCCCAAGCTTTTTTTTTATCCAAAACCATGCCCAGGCACCAAGTTGGTCTGGACCCCTTGCGGCAATCTTTACAGATGATCAGAAGACTGCGTGGACTGAGGTTAAATAATCTTTCTTGGGTTGGAATTTTCCTCTGTATAACGGAAAGTTGGGAACTGCTCATCCCAAACCGTGCTTCATCCAAAACCATGCTCAGGCACCATTTTGGATACTTTGGGCAAATCAACGTTATTGGATACGTACGTGGATACTATCCAGAAGCATGTTTTATCCAAAACCATGCTCGCACATGATTCTGGATAGTCTGTGCGTAACCAGAACCGTTCCTGCGGCAAATATGCGTTATTGGATACGTGAAGACTACCCATAACTGTGTCTGATCTTACCACTAACCCATTGGAGCATAGCATTAGATAGGCACGGTTCTGGGTATGTTAGGGACTGATCAGTGATAGTCTTTTATGAATTCACACTCTGGAGTCGATCTGCTTTGAATTCTTTTCTCCCAAAGGCATGCAGGACACGTCTGGACATCATAAGCAGCGCAACAGTCCGGAAATCACAGTCCATATTTCAACCCTGCCCTCATTCACTCAGATGGATGGTGTGATTCCTGTTCCCGCTCCATTACTTCAGATGACGAACGATCACGGAATACCAACATCGACGTTTTGTTTTTGACAGCTCCAATCTAATCTATGGCAAAGAAGGCGATTTCTTGTTGGCGTGCAATGGGATCAAAATTGCTGAAATTTTTCAAAATTAATCAACAATTTGCGGCGATTATGATATTCGGACTCGATACTAGTAACATTTATTACCAGACAAAATTAAAGATTCGATTAACATTAGCCTTAGACAGTAGCACTACTCATCATCCAATGTGTGTGAAGGGTCGGAATCATCCGAGTTCGTTTTATTAGAAACGTTAATTTTGGAGAAAATTATATGTAATGTCTCGCTCTATTTTTGTAGAGCAAAACGTGTTACGACTAAGAATACGTTATCATAGTAATAGAGTGTTAATGACCAGTAGTAGGTTGGTACAGAATAGCTATGACACTAGCCAAGACGTTATACATATTTCTTTTACCACATCAGGGGTTGAAATAATTCTTTAGTCAACGGTTAGAGGTTGTTACTAGCCCTGGAAATGGCTACGCGTGGTCATTCCGTCCGTACGGAATAGGTTCTGGCACATAAAGTTTCAATTGTATAACTTTACATGCTGGATCAACTGAAGACAGTCTAAAGCACTGGTGACTTTTACTGCTGATGGGAAGCTTTGTTCGACCATTATATCGACCCCTGGGAAAGTTGAGCGGGCATCTTAGCGACTGCTGTCTCTGGTATTAGGTGTTACTGGAAGCAAAAATGACTTAGACCTGTTCTATTGGATTTGGATTGCCTGCGGAGTCCAATGTAGATGTTACATACATTCCAGAGAATCTACATGTAGACTAGTTACTGAAAACTGATTTTTTTCTTTCTACAAGATACGAACTTTCTACGGTGTCTACAGACATTCCACTGGTGATAAATAGATACTATATATACTATACATATTGCCGTAGCCTATAGCAAACGAACTAACTAAAATTATAAATAGAGATACACTTAATTAAGAAAGAAATTTAGACATGGTTACCTTTATTGGATATACGTATATGTACAAAACACTTCACTTTTAACAATAGTACATGGTATAAAGATATAGGCATATTCTTCTGTAATAAAAGATGACATACCATTCTAAACTGCATTTAATGATATTCTTTCATCATCACAATTGTTTGCTTTAATTCATCATCGCTGTCACCTGTACATGGTCATAGATTCTAGAGATCGAATACGTGGGATTGGACTTGCTTAGTAGTCATGATAAAGGACCGTACCTTGTCGTACTTGATTTATGACTGCTTCAAGTTCCCTAAGGCCATAGCAAGTCATTTTTATGGGTGACATCAGCGCGCGCATTAATTTTTGCCGAAAATGGGCAAAGATGTCTGTTACCATGCAACGTGGATGGCAGATAAATATGAAGAGAGGAGACAAGACAAAACTCTGATTTATTGTTTTGTCTTAGATTTATTGTTTTGTCTTTTACTTTGATGCAGTGCTGTATTTAATTCTGATGTTCCCACAGAATCAAAATCATTTGTACAATGATTGAAAACTTTTATTTTTCTAGTTTGACAATGTTTATCTGTTGTCAAAATTTGAATGTAGGAATCTTGTTTTGTTTGGTCCGCCCTGTTTGTTTCGCCCTGTCGCATTGGATTTGGGGTCTGTGGAGGATGTCATCCATAAAATTTACTTGCTGTGGCCTTACGCAGTTCTGTAAACTTTGCCGATTGATATATGTGCACGTCAGCGGTATCCTGGCAACAGCATCGTCCCCAGACATCCAATGACATCGTGGACATTGATCAAGAACCACGAAGTGACCCTGCCACTGACTCCCCATCCTTCATCATTACTCTACTGACCTCAAATCACTTCACACCAGTCGGGCGGCCGGGTTGATTAAAGCCATCCACAGCGTTTTCAAGGTGGTAAGACTGGACTCTCAATTTTCGGGTTATTCATGTAGTAAGTTTAATCAACCCTATCCCATACTGATATCAGTGAGGAAAGCTAGAGTGTGATGTCGCTGACGGATGACGCTTGCTTGTTTCGTATGGTAGACTGGCTCTAGCTATTTATTTGTGATAACCACAAAATATAAGGACTCCTAGTGTGGCTTGTTTTAGAGCTAGTTCAAACGCTTCCAGTATGAAATAATGACGAAAATGTGCTAAGAAATAACCGAAGAAGAAATATTCCAATATCAGACAGATTTCCTCATCCAGAATATTGTCCGCCATGCTGAAATTGTGTTGGATATATTTAAGTCTTACCTTCTTTAAGCACCGTTTTCCATAGGTAACATCCTTTCTCAATTCCAATACACTATTCATTGGTGGTATAAATTGTTAATTATAAACTCTTGCCTAAGGGCAAATATGATTTATCGTACTCTTGCTTATTGTAAACTCTTGCCAGGGGCGTATATGCTTTAACGCACGTTCCAAAAGGAGCAGTTTGCTTGCATCATCCTGTTTGTTGATTAATAATAATTGCTTATTGCAAAATATTGCCTAGGGGCTAATTGAAAAGAACATTTGATAGTAAAACTTTTGTAACACAAACGGTAGCAATAGTCTATAGCTAAAGCGAAGATCTAACCCCCATTTAAGTGTAAACCGCTTGGGTAAGGATTCCGTTATAAGGGCTACAAGGTTATAAAGATTCCCAATGCTATTGAGAGATAGTCATTGGTGGCCCTTTGAAGTTTTGGCAAACTGCTCATCTCCCATTCAGACTCATCAGCCATTCAGCAGAAAATTAAGTCTACTTTTCAGGTGCTCAGAGCACCGGAATTGATGTACCTTGTAGGTGGCAATAATGGGCAATCGGGCCTCGAGGTTCCCGGTATAGAACATCCATTAAGCGAGTATTGAACGTCAACTCAGGATTCTAGATTTGCAGGCTCGCCTTGACCCAAATACAGTTTGCCCAGAGGACGAAGTGAGCCATATGTGCGAATGTGTGGCATAAAGGTTTGGCTCAGAATCAATGGGTCCTGGGTTCGAATCCTCCAACATGCATCAATGCTATACCATTGGTAAAGGTACTTTACACAACTTTTCCTCACTTCACACGTGAAAATGAGTGCCTATCTTTGGTAAGGGGCGTCTCTTGGATAGGACGTTGGAGGTCATATGTTTGGGTAGCGTGGGTGCCAGACCGTCATAGCACACTGGACACAAGAAAAGCTCACTGAGATACTTGTGTCCAGTGTGCTACTGATGGGTCTGGCACCCAGGCTAGTGTTTGGGGAGAGCCACACCCCACGCCGCGTTAAAGAACCTACCGCACCTTTCGAAAAGAGTAGGGGCATGCCCCGGTGTGCGATGGTCCAAATAACACCATCTGGAAGTAGGTGATTCACTACAAATCACGTACCCGAATGGAGGCCTGGCGAACCCCCTTCTCGTATTAGCCACACAATGATTTACATCCCCTCGTCTTTGCTGACCCTTGAAGAATTGTGAGCAATTTATTTAACACTAATGGAGATCAATATCTATAGTAATAGAACAAACAAACAATGTGCTGCACTATTTTGCATTGGGCTGGACTGTAACCAATATGACCTGTCTGCACTCCTATCAATACTGTACAATTAAACTCATTCCTTTTACCACGCGTACATTGGTGAGGGCCTGCATGGGGGGCGGGCGGTAGTGATCACGAATTGCGAAAAATTTTCGCAAGTTTCAGAGCTGATGTTACGACTTTACACTTTGCGGCTAATGTTCTATTACGAATTACGTTGATTTTTGGGGAGGCTGCCTACGGATTACGAAGACTAAAAAGGCCTGATTTCGCGTTACGGAAAAGGGCATGCAGGCCCCCATTGATCTGGTGAAATAAACCTTAATTTGCTCAGCCCCCCATGGGTGACAGTAATCTAACAGTCCGCCATGTTATTCCTGTCGTTCTCAGCGGGTTTTAATGTGTTTAGTCCAGCGGTAAAACGGTTTTTCACGCGACGGTGCAATTTTCGTAGAAAGAGCGAAGGGTGTCGGGTGAATAGGCTACGATGTTTGTAATGATGCTAATCCCTGGCGTCTGTACTCAGCAATTTAAGATTGCAATAAACTGTGCGGGCGTAATCATTTTTGACAAGGTTTTCTCTAATTGATTCCACGTTTGGATTACTGGCGTTTTCTGATCTCCTTGCTCTGTTCATCTGTGCTTTACAATAAAACACCAACACTAATCAAGAACGACAAATCAAGACACTGATTAATTATAAAATAAAGCCTGATACAATCAAAGTGTAATTCACGTGGGTAAAGATTCCAGTAATTATATTTTACTATTTTTGACGATGCTGCCATGTATACACTTGCAATTGAAATGTTGCTTTTGATACGTTTTATACGTTGTTCGCTACAACGCTTAGACTCAGAGTATGGCATCTACCAGTCAGCGATATGGCCGTTTCAAATATAACGACCGTTTACGAGACGGAAATGCGTTGCCACCTACTCTCCGATCAGAGGTTGATGGGGAAGATCGTTACCTTTTTATATGGCCCTTTTTTGTGGCTACCCCTACCTTGGGTCGCACATGGACCCTCTCTGGCCAATGGATATTGCCTGGCCGATTTGATACTGTCGTTTTGCCACCCTAGGATCTGCTTAGAGATTAGTTGCCACTTTCTATCTTAGTTGTGTTTGACTAACTTAATTCAAATGCGCCCCTAGCGGATCTCCGAAGGGTTGGTGCTCTTAAAAGAGCGGTAAAATAATTACTCTTTCAACATTGCAGTTTGATGCCATACACCTAGCGATGTGAAAGGGTAGGACATGTCCCAGTATTTGTGCAGTACTCTAATGTATCGCCAGGCGACGCTACGTACGCATCAGAATAGATCACATCTCCCACCACCACAGGGACAGGCAAAGGATATGGCTAATCGAATTGTGGATTTCATCAATCTTGGAGATCATGAAGCGTGATATGAACTTCTTGGAATGGTGTGTGTTCTGTTAAGTATTGTTTAACGGTCAAGTACGTGGCAAGTTCATGTTCAACTGTAGTCATACACCATACCTTACACTCTTGATGACAAAATCACTTGTCTTGTAAATATGCACCTTTAACAACTTAAATACTTCAGACCACAGACAGTAGGAAAATCATAATGATGAAGTATGTGACACAATGTAACAAATATTATTAAAGCATACAGCAGCAAAGACTCATAGATGCACAAAAAATGCAGAATTTAACATCTTAATCAAACACACAGGTCTGACAACAAGGTATTTCTTAAAATATATAAGCATCAAATGCTGCATAATAATAGCATACTTCACTAAATCACAGTTGTCTTTCAAATTCTTTTTTAATTTCTTCAGTACATTCTTGATATTTTGATAACTCTCAACATCTGCTAAATAAATTCAGGCTTGTCAGACACTGGTTATTTCCACATTAAACAAATAAAACATTAATCATATCATCTTTGACATTCAAGATGTGGGGCACACATTAGCCTCACACTGACATAAATGCAATTGTGCAACTTTACTTCCTGCAAGTAAAGAACATAATATGTACACAAAATACAGGACTGAAACATTCAAATGGCTTGGTTAGGGCTTGATCACATTCTTCAAATGATCATAGTACAATCACAAACTAAGAGCAATCTTGGATATGTCATGCAAAATTAAGCTGTATTGTTACTATAGAAAGATTGTCTAAGGTTCTCAGCCTGCTCAAAAATTCAACATCAAAGTCATAGGACAGCCTACAATGAATGTGGCCACACTGTAACACTGACAAACCAAGGTGCAATGGAAAGTTGAGTTCGACATTTCTAACTCAATATCCATTAAATTTATACTTAAAAGACTGCTTTCTACTTTTCCACAGTGCCACAATTAATTTGTTTTTCATACAAGAATACTGTTCAATGTGTCATTCAACTAATCTATTATTAAAAGGTACCACACAACCTAAGGTTGTACCACACTGAATCAAACATAACTTACACACACCTCTTACAACAATTCAATACAAACGATTATTCATCTTTGGGAAAAACACTTGCGTTGGTCTGTTCAGTTCACAGATAAGAGAAAAGTTATATACACATAAGACACTGCATATTGCAAGATATATGTGAGAAGGTTGTTTAAATGATAGCTTTGTATTACTCCTGGCAAGGTGCACTTTGTCGCATCACATTCTTTGTAATATAGGACTATACCAAAGTTGGTCCGCATAAATGTTACAGTATACAACTCTTAACATACACATGTACTTTATCAGTAAAATACATCTTACAATTTAAACATGAAGATTGCACAATATTTCTTTTATACATATTGTTTTTTATACATAAATCTTTGTAAAACATTTGATGATTATACACATCAACTACTCAACTACCTCTACTGTCTCTGGACCTAATGTTGATCCAACTCAGACTGTACTTGAGTGTCTCAGTGTGTTATATGGTGACTTGAATCAGCACATATAGGGTGGATAAGGTCTCATGACTATGATATAGTCTAGCATCTATACCATGTTGGGAGGTAAAGATGATTGTGAAGTCTTCTTTTAAGAGGAATGTTACACTTTCATTTTTTGTGCCTCAATACATTCATGACTTTTTTCCTCTGTATACAGCACCAGACTATCCACATGGCAGGAAAAACTATTGTGTTTCCAGCTTACTGACTGACCTTAGCAAAAAACTGATGACTGAAGTCTTTTTTTGGGTCAATCGCTGGCAAGGCCATAAAGGTCTTGTTCTGACATCTGAATTTCAAACCCAAAATTGCATGTTGACAACCTTGCAATTCTGTCTTGGCAAAACTGTGGCCACATACATGTAACATGGAGGCCAATACCTGATGATGCCCAATGGCAATGTTTTCGTCATTTTGCAGCACAGACTTTGCAATCTTTTGTCTCCAAAGTGGTTTTAGGTGGTTTGGAAAGAAAATGAGTATGTGACAATGGTTTTTCCCGAATCGGTTCTTGACCTGTAGGTTTTCTTGGACTTGAACCTTAACATTTTTACAGGTCCGAAACTGGTCCAGCGAACTGGTACACAGCACTAGCTGCTGATGTACTGCCATCTCTCCAGACTGCCCGTGTTGGTCTTGGTCACAACGACATCAGGCGATCCCGAGGTGTCGATCTGCGTGTCGTCGTACGAGTAGTTTATGGCGGCGGGGTCGGGGAGTTTGAGGTTGGAGTAGGACTGGGGCAGGTGGACGTCGTCCTGCTCATCCTCCTGTGCCTTGTAGGAGAAGTTCAGGGACGTGGGACGGGAGTCTCTGTGGAGGTGGGGAAAAAGTGGTGGTTAATGATGGAATTAACTAGAAAGGTAATATTTGCAAAGCAAATGCATGATGTTTACCTTCACATATGGTCTGCTCTGTTCATTCAGGAGTCTAAATCCCTTCTGCTATAAAATTGCAACATGATGTAACCCAACACTAGTTACCATGGTGACAGACGTCTAGTTCAGGTCATTGACCTTATTTGGTTTGGAGAAGAAGAAGAGGAGGAAACAGAGCAAAAACAATATGTTTTCCTTTGGTAAACATAATGAAGACCTTTATTGCACAGTGTGTAATATTAGACACTTGCATAAAACCTTAATTAGACTTACCCAAAGAACTCGCTAAGGAATGTCCAGTACACCAGTGGTGCAAAACAGGTGAAATAGGCAAGAGTGGTGGCATCAACAACACTGAGGAACAACAATATCGTGTAAGTAACAAGTTTATGTAACATACATGTACATGTACGTATGGTGCTGGAATAAGGAATTAACAACCACAACCACAACATCAGGATCATGCAGCATTTAAAATTTTTGTTACACTCAGTTAAAATTTTGGGACACTGGCAATTTTCAAAATGTAACTACATTCATATGCCATAATACTATAATCATGATTTGATCAGAATACTGACTTCAAATGAAGACCAAATATGGCCGAACATTTGTGTATAGTAAGTTGCTATCTTAATGAAAAAACATTGATTAAAGGTTAATCTCTTGCATGTACAACACATCTAAGAGTGTGCCCTCACCAGAGGCCATCCCAGATGTCACAATACAGCAGCATACTGCCAGTTGCCTGGGTAACATTTAGGACAGCCAGCGCCACACAGTACAGGTAAAATGACTTCTTGGCTGTAGTAGAAGACAAAAAAGCAATATTATACAAGCAATTGCATATGGTTCTGCTACATGAACTTAACTTTCACTAAAAAAAACAACAACATTCTTAAGTCATGTAATTATATCAGAATATAGTACTTTAAGAACTGTCACATAACATAGTCATGGGAAGCAGAAGAATGCTGTTAGAGGATTGTGTTCATGAAAGTTTACCTGGTAACTGAAATCTTTCTTTCAAAGGTGTGAATGGCAAGAGACAAATCCCAACATAAACCTGAGTAGGAAAAAAGAATCCTTGATTAAGCTTAAGCCTAAGGAAAAATAATGTTGACAACAATGCGAACATACAATAAGTACGGTACTGGAAAATAGTATAGCTTCTTGATTGACACGTACAGTGGACCTAATGCCCCATTCTAATTAATTGACAGTAATGTTAAAATCAAACTGGGATGTAAATCTGTTCCTGTGGATGAGAATCAACTACATGTGCTAACTACTGGGCCACCTGTGACATGGTTCTATGTTCTAAGAAGAAGTGCCAACCTTACCAGTGAGAAGAGACATGAACTTGTGAACCAGAAGACCATCCCTCCATGTCCAAACAGGCTGTAGTTTTCATCCTGGAGGTCGAACTTGGAGTCATGGATGATAAACTCCAAAACTCCCTGGACAAAACAGGAAATTCATCAAAAAACAAGAACCAACAAATAAAATTGGTGTGGCCTTAATAAGACTGAAACAGAAATTGCTTCAGAAAAATGCTTACCTGTGTGACTGAATACACAAGAGCCAAAAAGCTTGTGACTAGCATGACTCTCTTGATACTGGATCTGCTATCTAGGTGACCTGGAATTAGGGGGGGGGGGGCAAAAACAACAGGGTTTAAAGAAAGGTCATACAACATGTAAGATTGGTTAGTTTCAACTATAGTAAAGACAAATTCAAAAAAAGTTTTTGTTTTAAGTAATGTATTTCGTAAAATTTGTATGTTTCTAGTAATGGATGGTATGTATTCCGTAAAATTCGTATGTTTCCTAGTAATGGATCGTATGTATTCCGTAAAATTTGTTATGAATTCCATAAAATTTGTATGAATTCTTTGGCACCCTCTGTGTGAGGTCTTCTACTTACCAAACATCAGACCAAACACAACCACACTCATCTCTGTCCCCAGCAGGAAAAATCTCAGCACAATCCACAGGACCTAATAAATAATAAAAGGGACACATCAAAATGTGAGACACATGTTTTCTTTCTTTCTGAAGAAAAAAAAAAACGAATTCAAAGTACATGTGAGTTCAACAAGCATTGACAGGAATAGTCTCCAAACCTTGTCAGTAATAATCCCTAGGCTTGCTGTTGCGTTGACTGTCATGGACACCACACAGCGGCACACACTGATCACTGCCACTATCACAACCTGGAGGGAAGGAAACAAAGTCAACTTTTGGACCTTTAAACCCCACATACCTTTTCGGTTAACACCATGCCAGTGTGCCTAGGCTGGATGTATCTCACCAGTTTGGTACATTTCAAAACATGCTGCAAAAAATGTTAAGCATGATTTTTGTCTAAATTAGTAATGATCAAACAAAGCAAATCACACTTGATTTCCGTACTGCTCTGCAAGTACTAGTAGGTCAAAAGCACAAGCAAACAGACAGACATAGAGATATGCTAGAGCCTTTACTTATCTCCCTAGGGATGAACTGGAATGAAAGTGGTTGCCTAACAGTCAATATCTGGAACATATCGGCAGGACAGTATGTACTGTACCTGCGCGAAACCTGTAATGCATTGTGCATAGCACTTTGCCAGAACGCCTCATGTAAGGTCATAATATCGGGTATATAAGGTTAACATCTCGTCTGTAGTTTTCAAATGTTATGTCGAAAAAGATACCCTCTGCAACAGGCAAAATTCTGATGCAATGTTGACCAAGCATTCAATGGAAACCGTGAAAAATCCGGGTTTCGCGCAGGCCCAGTACGTTCTGTCGACGTGCTAATATCTGGTACTGCATGTATACTGACCAGGATGTAGAAGGCTCGGAAGATGGGGCTGTTGGTGTTCTTGAGTTTGACCTTGGCCTTGGGGAAACTGACAATGAGGAAGAGGAGGAAGAGCAGGTTGGGTACCAGGAGGACAACATCCCACACACGGACCCTGCAGGACACAGCATGGTGGAGAACACAACAACAGTGTCATATGTTAGAATGCAAAACACCCCTACAGCCAGCTGTCAGGTGCAGCAAACTTTATATTCTTACTCTGTGGAATTTAAATCATCATCTACAGGTGTAGTTACTTCCATTTTATGTTTACTGAAGGAAAATATACTGTTTCCGATTCTCCAACAACAAAAGGTCAATGACCTGGGCCAGACAGTCTATCACCATGGTAACTAGTGTTGTGTTGCTGTTGCAATTTTATAGCAGGAGGGATGTAGACTCCTGTCACCACATATATGAATGTGTTTGAGTAAGAATTAACATAGCAGACCAGATGCGAAGGTAAACATATGCATTTGCTTTGCAAATGTTACCTTTCTAGTTTTAAATTCTCTTTCCTCTACAAAATCATGAACATGTATAATCATGTACATCTGTATATCTAGTTTCTTTTTCACACAGTTGAATGTCCTTGTGAGGACACTAAATAAAACCACAGTGTGCCTGTAGTGGCAGTCCTTACCCTGTGTTGTTGAGCTCCATGATGAGAGGTGTGAAGCATTTGGCTGGCTCCACCAGTGGTGGGATGGATGTTGTGTTGGTGTAGTTAGTCACCATTCCTGTTGGGGCTACTGTCATGTTGTGGTAGGCTGATAACACAAAAGGCATGGTTAAAAGAAGGCATAAACACATGTTTTCTGGCCTAAAAAGCTGATTAAGACCAAAAGAAATTCACAATTTTTTCACATAGACATTTACATTAAAATTGCCTTTTCATTTTTTTCTGTAATACATAGCCTATATTGTGACCAGCATGATACATTTGGTACATTTGTACTATTACAACATGTCCTGATCATAATCTGTGAATTCAGGTTTACCTGGGACAGTGGTAAGGGGCACTGTAGCTGGAATGAGCACCATTGCCATCTTCTACTTCTGTCTGCTACTTGGACTTGAAAGTTGATCAGCTAACTGCAAGGCAATAAAAGTAACATTGTAAGCATACAGCATAGGCTTTCCTCTTTCCCAGTTAAAGGAGAACAAGCTGACAACAATAGGGAAATACCAGGTTTGAAAAACGATGACTCATAATATGAAGCTAGCTTCCACTTTATGTTATGTTTTGTTTGATGTAAGAAACAATTTATTTTGTTGATGCAGCCCTCTACAGGCTATCTCTGCCTGAGTCAAGATCACATGATCCATTAAGGCTAATGAAGGACCCCCACGTCTCATCATATGACCATGTAACCATAGAAACTGAAAGTGAAAGCACTTAGGGAACTGCACTTAAACCCACCAGCTCCAGGGGCTTAATGAGAAATGAAACCAACAGGCACTTTCATTCTCATCCATCACACCATTGTCCTTTAAACAAGTTGTTAAAGGTCAGGAGAAAGGTTCTCTGATACACAGACAAAATAAGACAATCCAAGCATTTTGTATTTTCTTCACCAAGTATAAAGTTAAAAACTTAAATAATATTTTCCTACCAATGCCTTGATAATTTGTTTGACCCCTTGTGAATTAAAAAGTATATGTAATTGTCTGTAATACATCCTGCACATTCCTACATATACATGGAGCAAAATGAAGAAGTTTTCATAATATATAATTACACTTGCCTGTCTAGACATGACTTTGGTGCCAGACAGTCTGTGCGGGTTAGAAATTTAACCTCACTTTATCCATCATAATTAGATTTCTGACAAAGGAGTCACCGAACAAAAACAGCAACTCAAAGGCAGACGTACATACATACAGATACATACAAGTACAGACACCTAGGAGGATGGTTCCTATACTATATTACTAGTCAGATTAGTGTGTTTATTGTGAGTTCATTTGCATCCTGGTCACAAGATCATCACACCACTCGTACAGTGTCAAGGATGGTTTCTCAAGGATGGGTCTCAGACTTTTAGCGTTTAAATGTTTTACCTTCAAAGCTGAACTTGTATAAGAACGTTTCTATGACGTGGCGCCCAGCCTTCACGCCCAAAATACCAATATTTACCGAACTGCCATATATTAAACAAACATATGGACAGACAACAACATGTTGTGATCTATACGGCTTATTGATGCATGATGAACCCGCTCAGGTGAGCTGACGTAAACATTTTAGGATTGTCAAGATATCAGCGTTTCTTTGCCACCTTACTTAACCTGGATGTATCCCTAAGATCCATAAGCATCTGAGGAGACTTAGAAAGCACAGAAAAGCCACAATATGTCGACAGAATGAGCTGACAAACGTGAAGAAATATGACTAACCTGTACGTTCTCGTGTTTAGAGGCGGTGCCGACTGTTTTCACCGGAAGTGGGTCACGCCACTGGCATCATGGGAAGTCTGGACCGGATATGCGTAGTGATATATCTAAATGATGTGAATTTATTTACCTCTTCGGGTCAGACGATCAATACGCGTATGTAAAAACAAAAATATCTGCATATTTTACAACTCGAAGTGCACTTTTGCATACTATGAACAAATACTAACGTTAAATTTTGCTTTTGATTGATTGTTGAGCTCTATTCGCATCTTCTATATTGATGTTGAACTGGAGAACTCTTTATCTGACCTTTGGATGTGAATATTCATGAGCTAGATTTCCCGCGAAAAATGATCATGTGTGCAGAAACCGCGGCAAAATCGTCGAGGAGACAAGATGGCAGTAAGTATACCTGTTGGATTTCTGCCTCTTTTCTTGACATAACTGCGATTGTATGGCGTTTTAGATTATGTAGTAGACATAGGAAAGTTGCTGTGTTCATGTAGATGAGGATATAGTAATTTTACGGCTTCTCCTTTCGTGTTTTTTAAGAAAAATAAGAGGATAATTTTTTCACGTGTTGCACCAAATGTAAATAGCATTGTGTTTTGTACCCAGTCTCGTCTCTGTTATATAAAATATTCCATGGAAAACTTGTACCATTGTCGTTTTTACGGGTAATTGGAAACCTGTGAGTATAAATTAGAATTTCATAATCGATTTTGACATCCTGAAACTATGTTAATGTTTAAAGTAAAAAGCCGACTTGTAGGTATTTAATGTTTAAAGCTGAATTTAAATCCTTTCATGCCATGTGCACTAAATAAGCTCAAGATTCACATAGATCATTGTTTCAGTCGTTTAAATTTTTTCATACACATCAAGTAGAGAATTCCCTACTCTGATTTGTAAAAATCCCGATATTTCAACACATGGAAACTTGCTAATATGACCAACTTTATGATAAATGCATCAAATTTAAAGCATACAATGCAACAATATCATCACTACTACTGTGGTGATAAAATGACCCCGTTACCTACATGTATGCTGTGTTTCTTCCTGGGGAGAACCCTGCATGCCCTTTTTCGTAAGACGTAATAAGGCTTTTTAGTCTTTGTAATCCGTCGGCAGCCTCCGAAAAAATCATCATAATTCGTAATAGTACATTAGCCACAAGTCGTAATCAGCTCTGAGACTTAAACGTAATTTGTAATCAGCAGCAAAAATTTTGCACTATTCCTAATCACTAACCCCCAAGCAGGCCCTCTTAATGCAGAACATCATGTAATGTTAACGTGTGTTAACCTTATCTACAGGATCAATCCTCTGAGCGTTCGGAGCCCTTCTCCCCACCGGTGGGGAGCCCCCGCACCAGCCCCAGCCGTGGCACCAGCCCCACCCGAGACCTCCCGCCCTTCGAGGACGAATCAGAGGGGCTGCTGGGTAACGAGGATGCACCCGTCCTGGAGGAGGAGGAGGAGGATGGGGAGGAACTGTTCGGAGATCGCATGGAAACGTCAGTACCATGGAATAACTTCTGACATTTAAACACATAGAAATGTCGGTGTTGTGAAATGATCTAGCTTACAGTGTTCGAAATACCCACCTGCAGTCTGGGTTTTGCAGAGACATTTTCATTATTGCAGAAGAAAAATGAAGAAAACTATATCTATAATATAGAAGTAATTTTGCATGTATTTTTCAAATTGCATGTAAAATGTTTGCCAACATGCAATATTGTATATGTCATGGGTTTACATTTTTGTAGGTCCAGACTTTTAAGTGTGTATTTGCAGAAAGTATTTCCGAATTGCAGAACAAAATGTTGACATTCTGCAGTATTGCAGAACACTGAAAAAAAGTATTTCTACCACTGTGATTTGAACATTGCTTCAACTATGCGAGTTACATATTGAAAGTTACGTATCTTAACCCAAGCTTTGTGGTGTCACTGTGCACCACATAAACCTTATAATTTATGTACAATGCATTTTTTGTGAACTGCAGGGACTACCGTCCAATCCCAGAGCTGGATGTGTACGACCGCGAGGGCCTGGATGACAATGAGGAGTACTCGGAGCTCTCGTTTGGCGAGCGTGCCGAGGTGGAGCGTGAGCTGAGGAAACGCGACAGGGAGGAGGGGCGCATTTCTGGCCGCATGCGCAGAGGCCTGCTGTATGGTATGTTACTGTTTTCCTCATTTAAGAAAAATTGAAATTAGTAAAACACATGAAATACTAGAAAGGTAACATTTGCAAAGCAAATCCGTAATGTTTATTGTGGCACATGGTCTGCTCTGTTCTTACTCAAACACATTCATATACATAACAGGAGTCTAAATCCCTCCTACTATAAAATTGCAACATGATGTAACCCAGCACCAGTTACCTTGGTGATAGGCAGTCTGGTTCAGGTCATTGACCTTATTTGTTTGGAGAAGAAGAGGAAGAAGTAACAGAGCAAAAACAGTATGTTTTCAGTAAACATAATTAGTCTGAATTCCAGTGAAGTCACATTTATAGTGGATGATAGTACATGTAACTGTAAAATGGCAACAACTTAACGGCCTGGTATGGTACAGTAATTAAAGGGAAGAATGATGCTTGGTTTAGAAATTTGCAGTTGTGTAGTAATTGCTTATTCCTGTGATGGTTTGAGGTAGTTGGCTGATAAAATGATGTTTCCCTGCAGATGAGAGTGATGAGGAGGATGAAGCGGTACCCAGGAGGAGGAGACGTCTGGCGGAGAAGGCAGCCGAGGGGCTGGAGGGGGAGGATGAGGAGGTAGGGACTCAATACAACTTAAATCTTGCTCACCATAGCATGTCAGCAGAATGTACTGCACCTGGGCAGTGTGTGAAACTAATGTATTGTACATAGGACTTAAGAAGAATGTCTCATATAAGGTCGTATTTGCGCATATAAGGTTAACATCCCGAATGTAGTTTCCCCAAATGTTATGTTGGAAAAGTTATCTTCTGCAACAGGCAAAATTCTGATGCAATGTTGACCAGTCATACACAAAACCCCTGAAAAATCAGGGTTTTGCACAGGTGCAGTACATTCTGCCAACGTGCTGCTCAACGCACATCAGAGCAAGTCCACTCTGGGCATGCTTTATCAAACATGTGTTATGAGATATATATTTGTCCTTAGAAACGATTGAACTCTAGGTATAGAACCTGGAGTGTATGACGGGACACTCAATGTGGTAGTTAGTCATCTAGCCCTTCCTTTATATCCTTTCCCACAGATGATAGAGAGTATAGAGAACCTGGAGGATATGAAGGGACACTCCGTTAGGGAGTGGGTGTCCATGGCAGCGCCACGTCTCGAGATCTACAACCGCTTCAAGAACTTCCTCCGCTCCTACTGCGATGAGACGGGCAAGAACGTCTACCGCGAGAAGATCAGGAAAATGTGTGAAAGTGAGTGTGCTAAACACAATTTGTTCTTTTCTGAGGAGAAGAAGAAAAGTAGTGACACTTTGCTAACATGTTACATGTCTGTAAGGGTCTGGAGCGGCTGCCATTCTGCCCTAACTGCGGTGACCTCAATACGACGCTGAGTGCGGCCATACGACTGTAAGGTTTGAACCACTCACACCAGAAAGGTCCCTTACTCTTTTCGATAAGCGTGGTGGGTTCTTTAACGTGCGTGGGGTGTGGCTCTTCCGAACACTGGACCTCCAGGTAAAGTCCTATCCAAGGGATGTCCCTAACCAAAGCTAGGCACTCATTTCCACCTGAGTGAAGTGAGGAAAGTCATGTAAAGTGCCTTTCCCAAGGCACAAAATCGGTGGCATTGGGCAGGATTTGAACCCAGGACCTCTTGGGTCTGAGGCATTACGACACACGACCCCGCGTTACATGTTCATCCCAAGGGAGAGAAATATGCTTTCTTCTTGTGTATGCATCTGTTTTTTTGTTTTATGAAGGACTGGAAAGGTTTGAGGATAGTGTGGGTAAGAGGGTGAAGTTTGCCATCTCTTATTGACTTGTTTTTTTCATATTCCAGACAACAAGGAGAGTCTGGTAATTGACTACAACATCCTGGCTAACGAGGAGCAGGTCTTGGCGTACTTCCTGCCCGAGGCGCCGGCCGAGATGCTGAAGATTCTGGACGAGGCAGCGAAGGAAGTTGTTCTGTCCATGTTCCCCAAGTACGACCACATCGCCAAGGAGATCCACGTGCGCATCGCTGAGCTGCCGCTGGTGGAGGAGCTGAGATCACTCAGGTCAGATCTCCATGGGACGGTGAACTTGAAGTCTTGGGGTTTATGTCTTTAAAGGACAAGTAAAGTAATTTCAGTTTTGGCACCTTTCAAGCCAAACCCCTGCTTGCAAAAGGTTATTCATTAGTATAAGTGTCCAGTTGGTGAAAATATTGGAACTTATAAGTAATCACTCCAGGAATGAAGATGCGAGAAGTGCTGGGATATGAAATGTATTCTTGTCAGAACATGTGCAGTCCGTGACCTCTGACCGGACTGGTCCAATAGTTTGTGGGGGTGTATATTGTATCCTTACACGCTTCCCCCCTATGTAGAAGAACTTAACTTCTCCTGAAGTTAACGATACATAACGTGGTGAATATATCAACTATGTAACATTGTTGGAACGACTAATTAACTACAGAATATAATGGCGAATAACAATAATGGGATAACGAAACAACAAGAAAAATATATAACGTTAGGTATATATGTAGTTGTATAGAACTGTTCAGTTCTGCAGGCTGGTTGGTCCAGTTCTGCCCACTAATAGTCAAGTTCGGCAGAAGGACTGGTCTGCGGGTAATCCCATGGGTCCGCAACGCAGTAATATGTCCTGCACAGTCATGTGTCTGCGGGTAATCCCATGAATCTCCGCAACGCAGCAATATGTCCTGCAAAGACCCTTGTCCATCAAGGGGTGAATACATGTAGAGCTGGATGAAGGGCGGTGTCAGTCCCTAACAGCCACAAAGTCGTCGTATCGGGACGGTGGTCGCACCCGACGACCTCTTCTCGTTGTCACGCCAGTCCCCCGGGACGGCGGGTTGGAGGCGTCACGCTGATTCGCCGCTGGTGACGGCGGGTTGGAGGTGTCACGCTGATTCGTCGCTGGTGCGGCCCGCAAGTTCACAGCATGATCCCGCTGAGGTAGGGTATGGCATTTTTTAGCCTATTGTAATGGACTATTTGTTTTCGGCCCTTGGTGTCTTGGATCCGATACGTGACGCCTGGTTCACCGTCTTGGAGGAGCCGCTCTATGACAGTGTAAGGCCCCTTCCATTTGGGCTTCAGCTTCTGTCGTACGGTAGTGGGATCGTGGAGCCATACCCGTTCGCCAGCCTGATAGGGCTTGTGCGAGACGTCGACGTCGTAGGCCAACTTCTGTTTGTTGCTTGCCTGCCGTGTGTTTTGCCGCACTTGTTTGAAGGCTGTCCGGAGGCTGGACGCCAAGGACCGGGCGTAGGCCATTGAGGTGACGGTTGATGATGCCTGCGGGTTTGGCCGAATATCACATCTGCCGGCAAGTTCGCTTCCCTCCCATGGGTGAGGAAAAAGGGTGTGAAGCCTGTTGAGGCATGCACCGAAGTGTTATAGGCGAGCAGGACATGGGGGAGATGATCATCCCAGTCATCACCGGTGGTGGAGACGTATTTGGAGAGCATGTCTTTCAGTGTTCTGTTTGAACCGCTTCCACCAAGCCGTCCCCTTGTGGGTGGTAGGCGGTTGTAACGGGGTCTTCTCTATGCCCAGTGCCTTGTAAAGGGATCTCATAGTATCCGCTTCAAACTGCCGGCCTTGGTCGGAATGTAGGCTTGTGGGATGCCATGTTCACGGATGAAATCCGTGAAAAGTACGTTGGCCACCGTCGCGGCGTCCTGGCGTTTCAGGGGTAGGCGTTGACGTACTTTGTGAAGAAATCCTGTACGACCAGGCAATAGCGGTGGCCATGCTTGGATGTTGGCAGTTCGGTGATGTCCATGGCCACCTTGGAAAAGGGTCGGTCGGCCCGAATTGGCCTTAAGGGTGCCCGGGCTGTCGGTGTTGGCGTTGCCCTTGTGGCACATGGAACGCATGCTCTGCACCACTTCTTGACCTCTTGTGTCATGCCGGGCCAGTAAAAACGGATATATACCCGTCGTAGTGTCTTGGCGGGGCCCAGATGGCCGGAGAATGGTCCGTTGTGCATTTCTCGTAGAATGGCTGGTACCAAGGCTCTGGGCGCAACACGCTGATGTAGTAGACGAGAGGCGGGCCTCCATCGGCGGTAGAGGATTCCGCCCTTGACGGTCAAGTTTGGGTATTGGTGCCACAGGGACTTTAGATAGCGTCCTTTGTGCTGGATGTCATTGAACGGGGGTCGGCCCCGTCGATGGCGTTTCCATCGTA